ATATTGTCTCACTCAAAGTACCTGACCAGGTGGGAGGGACACGTATAAGGGTTGGTGGCATGGCAAAGGGTTCCGGAATGATTCATCCTAACATGGCTACAATGCTTGGTGTATGTCAGTCTGTCTCTTATTTATGCCGTGATGAAAAATAATGTTTTACTCTACTGTTCCATAAATTGTGTGTGTGCGTGCTCTAGGTCATTACTACCGATGCCTTGGTTACAAGTGAAGTTTGGAGAAGATTGGTACAAATTGCTGTGAGCCGAAGTTTCAACCAAATTACGGTAACAACAATGCCTAATCTACTTGAACTTGCAAAATAGTATTAGCAGTAAGATACTATTATATACTATGATGTACATTCTTTGGTCATATGCGGCCACACAAGTCTTTGTTTCCGTGTGTTTCAATTGCATTGGTGGAGTGGGGTGTTGGTTTGTGAACGAAAAGAAGAGATGAGTTTATAAAGTGCACATATGAGTGGGCCCCTCTCACGCCAGAGATTGAATAAAATGCTAAGATCAAACTCCATCTAGATTATGCTAAGATAGTAAAGAGAGAAAGCTTTATGAGAAAAATGTGATGTTTTCTTGCATGGAATACAAAGAAAATGGAGAAAATGTGAGATGGAGTATAATATAGGAAGTGTTATATTGTTCTCTAGTTTAGTTTAGTTTTAAAAGGAAATGGAAAATAGTACACCATATTTTATTAATAATACAAACACGGCTTTTTTTGGGGAGGGTAAGTTTATGCAGACCTTTTTGAATGAAGCGATTATAAATGATAAAAGATTATGATTTCGAGGAAGTGCCGTCTCATTTCCTTCCATTTAACCCTAATAGGTGGAGGGATGGAAGGATTTGGAGCATCCAAATACTAACATCCCTACCCCAACAAAGGAGAATATGAGTTAGTAGAGACAAACACTTAAATGTATGATTAATATGCCCTTGTTTTTTTAGAAGGTTGTAGAGGCAAATGTATTGATCTATGCTGATACATTTTGACCCACACAAAATGTTCTAAACTTTTTCAGATACATATGCTTCACAGGTAGATGGAGACACCAGTACCAATGATGCTGTCATTGCTTTGGCTAGTGGGCTCTCAGGGGCGAACAAGATCTCTTCGCTGAACAGTTTAGAGGCAAACCACCTACAGATGTGTCTTGATGCTGTATGTGTAACCTCCTAATTTATTCTCATCTCGTCATGAGCTATAATATAATGCATGACAATAGTACACAATATCATTGTAGGCAACTTTTAATGTGGTCATTGAAGGGTGTACACATTTAATTTTTAGTGTAGAAATGTACTTATCTGTAGTGACGTTGAAACCACTTTCTCACAAAACAAACTTCACATTTTCTCTTTTTTCATTTTCCCAAAATGAACTTCATACTTCTCCTTTTTTTCCTATTTAGCAATGTAATATGTGCTTCACGATTTTTCTCTTTCCTTTATTTAAATTTCAACCACCCATTTTTTACTTTTCAACACTTTTTCTTCTGTGAAGTCAAGCGCCGAAGTTTACTTTGGGACGGAGGGAATCATTTCAACGAATCACAATATTCTTGCTCTCAACTACATGGATATTATGCAGGTAATGCAGGGACTGGCAAAATCTATAGCTTGGGATGGAGAAGGCGCAACCTGTCTTATTGAGGTTCTTACTCTTGTTGCTAAGCTGCTAATGATGCTTGTAGTACTGAATATGTCCAGAAAATAATAGCTACGTTTTGAAGATCTTCAATGACTTACTTCACCCAGTCAATGCTAGTAGTATCCAAGCATTTTATTTTTCCAGAAAGATGCTAGCTCTATGGGAATTTTCTGAAAGATAGGTTAACTTTGAGCTTGTTTGAGAAAATTGCATTTTGTTATTGTTTCAATAATCGATTATATTTCATAATCACTTATTGCTGTAGTTGATTATAATCAGAAACATTTTTGGTAAATTTGATAAAAAGTCCATTAAAAATCATTAATTTCGGTCGGGTGCAACAAAAAAATTGACTTTTTCATTCGTAAATGAACATGAAAATAGCTGAAATAAAATAAATACGAGGTAGAAAATAATCATAATGTACAAAATTTCAGACTCAAGAAAACAATTTTTTTTATAAACAAAAACAAAATAAGAAAGAACAAAGCTATCAATCTCGTGTCTTAAATATAAGAATATACAAATTGAAGACTCAAAAAATTGAAGTGTTAATAGAACTTCAAACAGTTCACTTTCTTAATATACTACAACCACACAATTTCACTTTTTAATATGCTTGCCAAATCAACATGGGAAGTTGATTTTAGGATGGAGAAAGTATTTCACTATGACTAGGGGACTACCTTATTTTTTGAAGATATGAATCTGTTTTATTTGATGTGGAATATATGCTAGATTCTGTGTTAGATTTTGTGTCGCATTTCCAGACACGAATGTTCTTCAAAAACACCAAAGACTAGCTAAATTCCCGTAAATTATCATTGCTTAACTGTTTTTATTCCCATTGTGGGTGTTTTTGTAAAATGTGTATATGTATGCATTTATATGTAAATATTATTATGGCTAGACTTCATTTTCCCATGGCTTAAAGCATGAGGATTTGGAAGGTTTTAAGTGCTTTGATTTGGATGAAAAAAACCATGTTAATAGGTGACGGTATCATCCTCTGATTAGACTCATAAAATAAACTAATACTCATATTTCCTAAATAGTTTAGGTTCCTGATTGATATCTTTCTTTATGGTTGGATTGTTTTGAAAACAAAAAACAATGGTAGGAAAGGTTTCTTCCGGAGAGGATATCATCTTAAATTTTTTATATTTAGTACTGGCTAAGATGTATTTTGAATTTCGATATGCAGGTAAATGTAGATGGAGCAAAAGATGAAGCTGAGGCAGCAAAAATTGCACGTTCAGTTGCTTCTTCTTCACTTACCAAGGCATGAAAAGATATAAAGCTTAGTAATTAGGCATTTCCAGAACCTGTTCTGACATATCATTGACTTATTTCTACTCTTTGAGTATTCCCTTTTCAGGCTGCCATTTATGGCAGGGATCCAAATTGGGGCCGCATTGCTTGTGCTGCTGGCTATGCTGGCATTGTTTTCAACCCAAATAAACTCCGGATATCACTAGGAGATACTCTGCTTATGGATGCCGGGCAACCTCTTCCTTTCGATAGGTAACAACCACCAACAATTCCTTGATTCCAATGTATTGGGGAAATGCACTATTGGTCTGAAAATGCACTCATGGTGGACATTTGCTTTTGGCACGTGATACTTTTCCAATTTTACCCTCCAAAAGGTGGAAATTTTTTATGAAAAGTTGCGTAAACATGTCAATAAAATCATAAGAGGGTCAATTTTAAAAAAGTAGGAACAATTAGTGGAGTTCATAAAAAGAAAAGCCGACATAATCTCGATTGTGTTGTATTCTGACTTTGAGACTTGATACCCTAAGTTACATTTACCAAATAACACTTTGTGAAAAGTGTGTCAAGAAGCATTGCGAAATGATTCCTTTAGTACATGCTACCTGCTTGGCTATGGCAAGTGCCTCCTGTATAGACAAAACCCCATCTATTGGCACATGCTTTTCAACTACTTGGTTTTCTGCATTTTATGAACTGTCCATACGCTTCATTCTTGCAGGATTGCAGCCAGTAATTATATGAGGAAGGCCGGGGAAACTCATGGCACCGTGGAAATTCACATATCTATTGGTGTGACTCTCAGTCTTCGAAAAAATAACTCGTTTTGGTCGTTTTTTATGCTCCCTCCCTTCCAAAAACACTGTCTATCAAGGTTTATTAGATACATTAGATTTTGAATGAATGTAGACATACTTATGTCTATATTTATTCAAAATCTAATGTATCCAATAATCTTTAATAGACAGTTATTGTGGAATAGGAGTAGAAAAAAAGCAAATTCGTTTTACTCATCATTCTTCTTCACATGCATATATATATGCAGGTGATGGCCCGGGACGCGGAGTTGCATGGGGCTGTGATTTGAGTTATGATTACGTGAAGATAAATGCCGAATACTCTACGTGAGTTAAGTGCAATTTATTCAGTATTTGTTGCATTTTTCAAAACTTCAAATGTTCCACTCTTGTTCAAGTTGACTGAGGTTTTCCTTGTTTATTCTTTGCCACATTTTCTCCATCTATACAAACCAAGAGAAATGCAAGGCATTGGCTTTGCCCTTTTTTTCTTTCCTTTTTTTCGGAATGTGTAAAATTTTGCGATAAAAAACTTAAGTGTTTGATTTCAGTATTGGTCATACTTTGTGGTTCCTAGGCTAGGAGATGTGTTGGTTAATGCGATACTGAGATCAAACGTCACAACATAATACTCTCTTCGTTTTAATTTAAGTTGTTAATTTATTATTTACATAGTCAAATTTTAGCCATGTTCTTTACCCATTTTTACTGCACATTTGATAAAATGATATAGTCTTGTCGCATTTTATTTTTGTAGATTTTTTGATGTATTTTTTAAGTATGCAAAGTTTATTTTTTAATTTCATATCAATTTTTAACTAAATTGAGTTGAATATAGTTTCAGTGAAACCCTGAAAACAAGATTTATTTGGGGTTTTTATGATGTTCTCATAGATCTCGATTTGGTTTTTAAAAAAAAAATCAAATGAAAGATACATTGTAATAATTGATGTATGCTCTATTGCTCTCAAATTCATTTACAGTGTCTGAATAATGTGTAAAATTTTAATTTTTTTAAAAAATAATTTAATCTATGAATTTGTATAGAAATGAAAGTCACATATTTTAAAATTATATAAAAAATTCTACAAAACAAAATGCAAAAGATTATTTTATTTTATCGAAAGAATAATTAAACATTACGAGTAAATAAAAACTATCCAGAGACGAAAATGTTAAAAAAGTTATTGTAGGATTAACGATACTCATAAATAATTATTAAAACTATGGAATTCTAAAATTTAAAGTGTTAAATTTAAAAAAGGAAAACAACAGAGACGTCCTCGGTTCACTTCCTAGTACAAAACCCATTCACTATCCCACTCTATCAATTTGTCAAATCTACAAACAGAGAAGCCTTTTCGGCCCCGCCGGCCTGAGATGGATCCATTGATCGATCATCTCGCCAGAAAAGCCTTGCGCCGGCGACCGGAATACTTGCAGGCGGCGGAGTGGGAGGACTGGAGTGCCCAATGGCCGCCATCTTCAGTCATCTTCTCCAGATTCCCATACACAATGTCCACCTCCGGGAACTCCGTCTTCAGCTCCACCAGCGCTTGCTGGAGATGGTCGTCGTGCAGCCGCCCAAACATCTCCATCCCTTCAGCCCCGCGGCGGTCCTCCGGCCCCGGAACGCCGGAAACCACCAGGTTCACCGCCCCGGCACCTATGAGCCTCTTGAGTTGTTCCTTGATCGCCGAAACGACTTCCGGCACCATCCGGCCAACTTCTTCAACTGATTTCCCATTCTTGAAAGCCAATTTGTAGTCGTTCTCCCCCGGCTCGTTCACGAAGAACAGAGTCCCCCGGAGCCTCTCCGCGACCGGAAAACAAGGTCCAGGAAGCGATCGATCTGGGATTCCAGAGAGTTCCCGGCGATTTCCCGGGCCTGAACTGAAATTCCGTTCTTCCCCGGGCTCATAACGACGGCTCCGGGGGATGCAAAGCTGGAATCGGAACCGAACAGAGCATTCTTGAAAACAGGGGAGGGGAGGTCGGCGGCGGCGGAAGAGGACACATGGCCGCGTGGCAGATCCAGGCCGTGGAGGACCGATGTCTTCCCCTCTCCGAACCGGAAAAGGGTGCGGAATATGCAAGTGGGGGCGGCGGTTGGTCGGAGGATTCGGGCGTCCGATGATGATGGGGAGAAGCAGAGGGATAGGAGAAGAAGAAGATCAAGAAACAGAGCCATGAGAGGGGACAGAGAAACAGGGGATTTGGAAGACGAAGAAGGCATGGCTGGCGATTGATGTATGTATAATAGCTTGGGGAACAAGTAAGAGAGAGAATGAAGGGCGAGTTTTTAATTTCTGCCTGAAGAAATGAATAATAGTGCTTCTTTTTATATATATATAGAGAGAGAGAGGGGGGAGACATAAATTAAGGAAGAAGCCGACATTCCAACTCAAATCCATGTTGTAGTAGGATTTGTAGAGTTGGGTTTGGGCTCGTTGGCCTTTACCCACTCGACAAACGAAAATGAAATCAAATTAGGATACGATGTTTAAGTTGCACAACTGAATTGTGGAATTTTGCAGTGCGAACTCATTGGCTCATACACTCAATAGTAGAAAGACATGCCACCGAGGATATTACGGTGCTTTGCTCGCAAAATAGATTTTTTAAAGTGAAATTTGCAATTAATATTACTAAAACATACTCCGTATCTCATTTTCTAACGTAGTACTTAAACTTTTTTATTCACTAAATAGTACTTGAATAATGTCTAGTGTGTGGAACGATGTCCGGTGATGATGAACATTTAGTTTGAACAATGTCCAGTGTCGATGGACATTTTCTTGAACAATGATCAATAGACAATGACCAGTGATACTACATTGAAAAATAAAAACATATGGTATTACATTGGAAAAATCACTATGTTTTAGGACTATTTAGGTAAATTTTCTTTTTTTTAAACTAATTTTTATAATGTTTAAAAGAATCAACATTGTTGGATTTGAAATAAAAAATCAATCAAATAAAAAGAATTAACGTGTACTTTAATTGTCTCAAATCAAAGAAAACATCATAAATAAAACTAAAACATAGAGAAAGTATCAAAATATGAGTTCCATGTTTTTATTCCCTAAATAGAAGTTTGCACTGTGGTAATGTGACAATGTACATGTACATTTTACGTAATGTACATGATCATGAAATATAAATGTATTTTAACTCCTATTTCAGGAATGAAATCATGAAACTTTTATTTTAGTATTTTTTTAATGTTTTAATCTTACTTTAGTCTTTTTCCACTCAAATTAAGCATTTTTAGTTTTTCTCCAAAAAAAAGTCCCTATTTTTTTTAAAATATATTGAGTCTAAACATACAAAGTAAAGACTTTTTTGGACCCCTTCATAAATTCATTTACCATTTTCTATAAAAATATTTTTTTTTCGTATTTTTTCTTCTTTTTGTTTCCTTTTTGTATTCTTTTTTTCTTTTATTGAATTGCTTATTTTCTATTTTCCATTTGCATTGAAGTCATTTCACATTTTCTGTTCTTTTTTGTGATTAGTCATGTGACTCATGACATAGAACTTCTTACCCTTACTGGGAATATGACTTTAGAAAGGAATTTTTTGAGAAATAGAATTAAAATAATTGGGTAGGTGCCTTAAACTAATTAAGGGGTGTTATTGCGTGCTTTGTAGACCTCTTATGCTTCGTGTTTTTTGCTACTTTCCTAGCAATACTCTTGTTTCGTGATTTTATTTAATTCAATTTAGTTTTAATTACGTGTGCGTGATGTTTTATTCTGCTGTATATGTGCTCTTCTTGTTTTATGTATTTATTGTGATTTTTTTGTGAGCCGCTGGGGCTGGGGGTCTCATGGAAACAACCTCTCTACTTTTGGAGACAAGATCAGCATACACCCTCCACACACCTTACTCTCGTAGAACCCAATTGGGATGTTGTTGTTTCTCTTGTTTCTCCTTATTTTTTCATACTTTTTATATGTTTTTTTAATTTCTTTTTTTAAAACATTTTTGTAATATTTTCTTTATTTGAATCAAAATTTAAATAAAAGAAAAACTATAAAAAGAACTTAATAAAAAGAAAAAAGATACGGAGTATTAAAAAATACAGTACTTCAATAGAAAAGAGAAAATGAAGTGATGAAGAAAATATGTTGGACATCGATCCAAAAAAGATCTTTTTTTTCTCTTCGTCCAACAGATTAGAAAGGAGAGTTTATTTTTGGACAGAGTTGAAAGTATTTAATTTGAGAAAAATAAAGTATTTGCTAATTTTTTTATTTCATTTTTTAAATAAAAACAATCTTTATTTTTTAAAATATTATAAAAATAATTTTAAAAATAAATTAAAGCATTGATGAAAAAAGAGAAGAGGAAAGATAAACAATAAACAAAAGAGAGGAAACTTTGGCGTCTATTTAGCAAATCACAGGTGGCACTAGAATTATATTCACTCTAGACTTGAAGGGTACTTTAGTCATGTGGGCATTGTCATAAGAATATGAGAACCTAAGGAGAGAACAATAGGCATGTTTGATTTTTGGCATATAGGATGACTTTTGGCGGTTTTGGCACATTTTAGCGAATTTGATTGGTCAAACAGTCAAAAAGGGTGTTTGGTAGTACAGTTGGCTACAAGGTTTGGCTGTATGAGTCCGAAAAGTCAAAAATTAAAAAGCTAAGAGGAGTAGCATTTCAAAAAGAAAGAATATGTAGATCTAGTGGAGAGGAAGAGAATTATTGAGAGAAGGTAATAGAGAGAGATATGTGGTGGTGGAAGAAAAGATAAGGTTGGGTTGTTAGGATTTTGTTGAGAGGGTAAATGAGACATTTACTTCAAAAAATTGCCATATAAAGAAACATGAAGATTATTTGTGGACGAATCGAAAAGGAAAGTGAGAAGATTATTTATGAACAGAGGGAGTAAAACGAATTTGTAAAACAAATATCATTAGGAGTACTAGAATAACTCAAGAAGGTAGAGTGTTAGGGAACTAACATTTCATTTCAATTTATGCATTTCAATTCCAAAATTTGAAATCTAAAATTTCAAATAACAAGAGAAGGAGCATGGATTTCAAATTAAGTTTTTTTGTGAATGAGAAAAATTTGAGTCAAGTCCAAATCCAAAATTTTTAAGTTTCCCAAACATGAAATTTGAGCCAAATACAGATTTAAAATCCAAATCTATGTTCCCAAACGTACCACAAACTTAATTCATTTAAAAAAAACAATTCCAGTTGGAGCACGATACGAGAAACTGCTTGCTAAACATGTGATTGAACAAAAACAAATACCAACGAGTGTTCAAAGCATTGTTATGAGTTTGCCTTGCACAAAAGACAAAAGGATGCAAAATAAAAATAAACGAAAGTACCAAATGGGAGTCATATGAGTTTGGCACAGAGAATTAGAGCTTGTGAAGTGCTGAACCAGTCTGGCACTTCAGTCTCGCCGTGCCTTTGTCGTCATCATATCTTGATAGAGGGGAACATGTACCAGAAATATTTGCTGGCCGAGTTATATGCACATAGTAAAACACGAGGAACTTATAGTATAAGAGAATTTTTTTTATCTATATGGAGTGAATATCTGATTTCCAATAAAACCAAACGATTATCTCCTCAAGTTTTCCACGACATACTCCGCATACAGGTTCCTGAATTAAAACATACCACACGTCAATTGAAACTTTCATCTGAATAATAAATAACAAATGGTATAGTAATGTTCCTAGCGACTAGAGAGGAGAAAAGGTATACGTTCAAAAGAAACGCTAGGGTAATGAAATTAATTGATCAAACTTGAACCAAAGTATCTATATGAAAGTGTGACAAATATTTAGAGAATTTGACATCATTTTCCCCAAGTTTTAATGCTTTATTTTGTTTATTTGAGACAACTGAGTAGAACAAACCATTAATGCTTGCATACTTGTTTCTAGGTTTTACTCCAAAGGTCAGCAACAATAAAAGGAATGGAGATATTTGAAAACAAAGGTTTGATAACTTACATGGAATGATTGATGGCTTCATAGGCATCAGAAGCAGGTAGAAAGTCATTAACAGCAACTTCCTTGTTCTCATTCTTTTTATCTAAGTTGTAGTTAAGGACCCAGCGTTTCAAATGCTTTCTACTACATATGAGCATCTGGTAGTAAAACCGGAATACATGTAAACATATATTCATGTCCCCTCCTAATGTCATATTTGGCTAGGAGACTTCAGTGAGACTAGACATAATCCTTTAATTAGCTCTTGCATTTAGATGGTTAGGGAGAGATTGAAGATGAGAAACTACATTGAAATACATGGATTGGTTAGGATTATACGGGGTAGTTATTTTATACCTTAAGACCAAGAAACAGAGTCACGTTAGTTTAACAAAAATCAATCTTTCCCTCCCAATGAAAATCCCAAAACCCTTAAGTTTATGCTTTTAACACAAGGATACAGTCCTCAAAGAAGCGACGGATCTCGGCCAAACGGTGTGGTGGGAGCTCCTTGATATCTGTGTAGTGTCGGTACTCTGGGTCATCAGCACAGACTGCAATTATCTTGTCATCTTTTTCTCCCTGAATTCCAACTAATATTAGAAATTGGTTTAGGTTAGTGTATTGAAATAATGATTAAATCTTAGCAGAGCATTTACCTGATCAATCATGGGCATAAGACCAATTGCTTTTGCACGTAGAAAGCACCCTGGAAGGATAGGCTCCTAGTAATCACAAACTACATTCAGCAACTTTAAAGAAACCAAATTATGCAACATAATGTAATATGATAGACTTCCTAGCTTAACTGCTAGTTTGACAAATTCAGTAGAAACTGTAAAAGACTAAGCTACCCGCACTTCACCTTTTCTTAATAAGGTTTATTCGACAAGAAGTCTTACACATCTAGTGTTGGGTACACAAACATTTGCAACCGGATTGGGAGGAAAACATCATAAAGTGATGCCAACATTTTGTTAAAAAAAATACTTGGAAGCTCTTAATGCTAAACCTGCTCGATCTATTACTTTATTCCACTTTGAAGAAAATATCTGAAAAAGAAATACAGACCTGCATGATAACTAAAACATCCATAGGGTCACTGTCCTCACAAATAGTGCGTGGGATGAAACCATAGTTATGAGGGTAGACAACAGATGAGTAAAGCACTCGGTCAACCTGCATATGAGTAATCCGTTACAGTAGGCTTGCTAAATATTCAACACATGTAAGGTTATCCTCTACAGTTCTTTGGTGATTTTGTTTAGTTAAAAACTTATTGAGGATTGAAGCCTGAACCCAATGCATTATGAACCACTAAAGTTCCCATGTTGCCACCAGACTAGAGACAAGTTTTTGAATAGCATAAACAGAACTATTGGGCTGCTTACGCATGCACAATGTTTCAAAAGTGAGCCCATGGTAAAACTCAATACTAAAAGTGTCACTTTCCTGATATTATTTAATAAACATGTTACCCAGCCTTCTCAACTATAGATTTCAATTTGTTTAATATGTATGTTTGAAAATGATGTCATTTGTTCTATAAATAAATTCTAAGTTATTTCTCAATAAAAATAGATAAGGCCTTATACCTTGATAAGTCCAGTCTTCTTATCGAGTTCATACTTCACCTTACTGCCCTTGCTGATCTCAATTACCTGCACACATCATGGAAGAATAACATGTAATCCTTGGGCGCAAGAAAAAGGTCAATATGATAAGATATCAACGAATTTAATGTTGTGTTCTTCACAACACCTAAATTTATTCAACCAAGCCTATGCAAACAGTTAAGCTCCATGCATACTTGAACATTCAAGTCGGGCTAGTATTTAAAAGAGATTGATATTCATTTTGCAAATGTCACACAGACAATGTAGCTCTCTAAAAATCAAAAGCATAAGTTGGCAATATCTGTATTTCAAAAAAAGGTTACTGAGTTGGAGCATAGGATAATATGAGTAATTTCTTCTTTTTCAAAATTCTAACAGCATGCAAGCATTGCTCTTAAAACTTCAAATAAGATCAGTGTATTTTCTTCATACATATAATGTTTTACTCATATTTTCCACATAGTATAACATCTGTGCCCCAATTAACAGATCCTTCAAATAAAAAGGTTTGAACCATTTGAAAACTCCGATGGAAAATTTTAAATGTGAGTAAGCTGAAAGCTAGGAGGAAAGTGAAGGCTTACCGCATTGAAAATCTTCGGAGCTCCAGGTCCTGCATCACCCAACATAGATAATGTGATTTAAAAAGTGCACAGGGTGACAGCATCAACAAGTGCGTAATAACTCTACAAATAGGCTGAACGTTGTCAAATACCTATCTCGAGATCATGCCAAGGATGGGCAGCAACTGATTTACGTGTCATGGATGACAGTATCCTTTCATTAAGAGGCGGACGAGAGATCTGGTTATGGTTGAGTTCTTTCTCAGGTGTTTCAATAGTTGGAGCCATAGTCGCAATCTGGGCATCAAAGCAATTAAAATCATGAGCATAGAGATGTCAGAGAACTGAGGAGACCAATGTCTAGAATGTAGAATTCCTGAGTGAAACATGGATCTATGCAAACAAAAAAACAAAATAACTAAACTAGAAACACACAAAGTACACGGATTGGCAAAAGGTCAGTTCTACATTCATGATTCAAAAAAAACAATGTGTATGGAGCAGAACACTGAATCAACATCCTCAGCAATACATAAATAAATAAATGATTGCATTGTGCCGTCTGTCAAAGGGCTAAGAATATATACATAAACTCACTCAGAAAATTTGATTGTTTTTTGCAACAGGATCATTATGTTATCACTTAGTAACTTCTTCTAAGAAAGTGCAATGACTCATAACTTGAAAATTTTAGGAACACTCAGTTTTTACAAGCATAACACAACTTAACAATCATTTCATTCATATTACCCTCCATATAGTCATATGTGAGCCGTGAGACACCATTGAATCATAAAAAAAATAACTATAAACATCAGTTACAGAGAACTAATAAATCATCCATAACCTCCATAGAAGTTACCTTGATTGAACAGATCCTGCTGATGACTGTAAATTCAAAACTACATGCATTTAAACCCAACATCAACACGCGCACACGCACACACGCACTCATACATAACACTCGTGAATTTAAACATGAGAAATTCTCAGGCAGCATAGAAAATCAGTACGGCAGTCTAAAACCAAAAAGGAGAAACACATTTAGGGCGTGATTTGTAACCAAAAGCACTTCCGGTTGCGCGTGATTACAGAACGTATATCTCACGCATTCACCAAGTAAGAGTGAAGTTTCACAAACATCATTTATCATTTCAACACGAGATTTAAAAAAAATATTAAAAATCAGTATCAAATCGATCCAAAAAAAAATTAACATACTGAAGAAACTTCATAAATTTTGAATGAGAAAGAGCAGAAATACTTCGAAATGAACTGATAATCAAGTAAACAGATGAACGGAAAGCGGCGAGGAGATGAAATTCATACCTCCGGTGACGAAACCGGCGCCAGAAGGGAGCCTGGGATGAATAAAGTCAGATCTGAGCGACAAAGCGTGACAACAACGGCAAAGGAGACAGAATACCAAAAAATGAATGTAGAAAGAGAAAAAAATATGCCCTAGAGAGAGAAAGAGAGGGAGAAGAGAGGAGCAGGTGAAGACAGTACTGCGTTCCCGCTACGATCCGCAACGTATCATTTAAATAAAAATACGGAGTGATAAATAGTCGTACTACGATCAAGTAAATAAAAAGGGTCTCTTGGTCTTCTTGCAACCGCAGGTGCATTTAAAAAAGGGCTAAGTTTGTTTTTCTGTTCAATTTATTTTTTTAATTTAATACTACTTCCGTTCCAGTATATTTGTCTAATTTGACTTTTTTGAATTAAAATGAACAAACTTTGAATTCTAATTATTCTCAATTTATATTGCATATTAGCATAATGAAATAAAAATTTGAAAGTTCTCAATACGATAAATCCAATAAAGTTATTTTTATGTTAAAATACATTACAGTTTTTATTTAATTGAACCTCAAAGTTTATTCAAATACACCTGGACAGAGGGAGTATTTATTTTTATTAAAATTTGATCATATCATATCAAAATAATTAAATATGACTACAATCAAATCAGACATAGGTGTTCAAAGATCAGATCAGGTGAACGGAACATAGCTTAAATTTCATCTTTGAAGGTTCTTCATAATCGACTAAATTGATTTATGAGATGAAGTAATTTGGTTTATCATCTTGATCTGGGAAGTAAGAGGTAAGAATCCGCCTTTAGTAGGAGCAAGAGTCTCGCATTTAGCATGATTGTCCTTCGTCGTCCTTGCTAAGGATCGATCTCGAATCACACTTGCGAGTCACGCTATGCCTACAAGCGTAGGTACATTTAAAATTGATAGATGTGAAAGTTATATTAGTGTTTAAACTTTTATATGATCTTTAATTTGATCTTTAATTTATATGTCAAAATTGATAGAGGTGAAAGTTATATTAGTGTTTAAAATTTTATATGATCTTTAATTTGTAACATTAAATATATTATTATGTAATATGCATATACAATGTGATATTTTTGTAGAATAGCATCAATATTTTCTAATATTTGTTTATTTTAATACCGATTATTTAGTTTTCACAAAAATTTAAAAAGTTGTGATATTGAAAAGATGTTTAATATTTTAAAAATTTTTTAAACATATCAATGATTAGCTGATTTTTTATTTTACTTTTTTTATGTATATATGAATTGTAATACTTTAAAACTATTAAATTTTGTAATAATTTTAAGTTTAATTTAAGTCAAATTTAAATTCATTTACACCAGATCTAGTCAGATCAGATCAGATCCAATCAGATCAGATCTAATTCAATCAGATCAGATCAGATCATATCAGATCCAATCAGATCAGATCAGACCCAATCAGATCAGATCAGACCCAATTAGATCAGATCAGATCATATCCAATTAGATCAAATCTAATATGATCAGATCAGACCCAATCAGATCAGAACTTCAAAAATTCAGATCAGATTCAATCAGATCAGGCGTACGGAACAGAGCCTAAGCCATTTGGTGTGAAAAGTGAAGGTGTGTGACTAGGGCTGAGCAACGGTCGGTTTCGGTCGGTTTTGGTTTGAAACCGAAAAAACCGACTTTTTTTAACATAGTTGAAAACCGACCGAACCAAACCGACCATAAATCAAAACCGACCGAACCGAAACCGAAAACCGCCCACACATCAAAAAAACCGACCGAAAAACCGAATTCTAATTACTTTTATTTTGATTTTTTAATATAAATTCAAGAAACTAATTTGGAAAGGTAGATTGATGTGTATTAAATTAGTTTGAATTAAAACTTTTCTATTGTCATTGATTTAGTAAGGTAGATTAATTTTTTTTTGAATTTACACTATCCATTTCATATAAAAATTGCATTTTTCTTATTAATATGTTCAAAACATTAACAAATAAATTTTTTAAAAGTGAAACATTATAGTTTTCCATGAAAGACTAAAAAGAAAGCATGTGTGTTAATCAAATATTTTCTTATTTTAAAAAATAAAAAATTTTTCTTACATCGGTTATTCGGTCGGTTCGGTTTTTCTTACAAAAAACCGAAAACCGACCGAAAAACCGAAAAAACCGAAAATAATTTTTACATGAAAACCGAAACCGAAACCGAAACCGAACTTCTGGTTATTTCGGTTTTCGGTTTTCGGTTTCGCGGTCGGTCCGGTTAATTTGCTCACCCCTATGTGTGACGCACTCGCCTTTAATTTGTCGGGTTGAACATTTGGATAATATTTCGTTCTTTTCGGTAAGAATCACTTCGTTCAGAAATGAGATTTTACATTATTAAAATTCGTATGAACCCGACTTCACCTTCCAATTCTATTCATATGAATTATAGCGAGCATTGGAATATCCATTTCCATATTATTAATATTCACTCATTTCTGACCGCAAATCTAGATAGTTATTATCAACACGAGCCTCTTGATATTGATTTAACTAGAGGTTTTACAAATCAAATCTTATGATATGTCATGAGTCTAGTCCATTGCAACTGAGTTCGCGTTCGATGAGTTTTGAGTTGTCTAATCTTGACCAAGTATCTCATAGTGACAATTATCGATGAAAAGTGCAAGACATATGACTTATTTTTCATTAATGTCTCAAACCAAATATATAGCACAAGAGTTACCAAAACTATCTAGGAAATACAATACATTTTATTTTTCAATATTTCTCATAATATGGAATTTGGAATCTTTTGTGATTTTATCCCTTTTTGAATTCTTCACGCGGTTTTTTTTTCTTTTGACAATTTATGGCAGTGTTCTTGTAATAAGGAGGCAAGAGACCTCCCGTTTCAAACTTTTGATTTTTCTTCATAGCTTTCACATTTTGGGATTGTATTTACACTAGCTGTATATATAATTTACTCGTCAATTTCATCTCAAATTACTTTTGAAGTAATTAAAATAAATAAAAAAGCTTCATTATCGTTACATGCATTTTAGGTTCATAGTAATTAGTAAATTAGTAGAAGCACTCACACGTCATATTCATATTTAAAATCAACATTATTAAAAAAACAGTAATCTCTCCGTCTCAAAATAAGACTTCTGTTTAATTTACAATGTCTGACTAAATTTATTTTTTCAAATTAAAATAAGTAAGAATTAGTGTAGAATTAAATAAAAATTAAAAATTACCCAAGCATGTACTAAAAAATTATTTCAAATATTCTATAACAAGTGGTGAGAATGTTATTTTATTTTATCCAATATATGATGAAAACGTATAAAGAAACTAGAATTAGTTTAACTTGTAGATATAATAACTGGAGAATTTACCTAAACAGTATTAAACTAAAAAAAAATCCAACGTAGTACCATATGTTTTTATTTTTCAATGGAGTACCAATGTTCAATGTCTGACCTAGTAGTCATTGTTCAAGTAAATGTCTACCGCTACTAGACATTGTTTGATTTAAATGTCTAATATCACTGAACATTATTCCCTCCAGGCCACTAAACATTATTCAAGTACTACTTATAGAATACTACGTACTACTCTCTCCGTCCCCCTAAGATGTTCTCATTTTGACTTTTGGTGGTTTTTAAGGAGAGTTGAAAAAAGGTGAAAGTTTACCATAATACCCTTAATGAAAAATGGGTGGAGTGTATTAAATGAGGTGGGTGAGGTGTAATAAATAAAGTAAGTGGGGATAGTTGTGGTATTTTAATTGTTAAAAAATGAAATGAGAAGATCTATTGTGGACATAGAAAAAAGGCTATTGAGAAGATCTATGGAGGACGGAGGGAGTATTTTTTACTCTTTGGTCCAGAATTTCAGTGATGATTTGCAACTAACATACGGAGTAGATTTTATTTTGAGAGAAAAAGACTATAAGATGAATAATTTAAAATTAGACTTATAAAAAAAGGAAAGAGGAAAAGAAGAAGCACTCCATTTGCTACTTTTAGCACTCCATCTCCTGCGGCATCTTTGAATTACCTTTATTACAATACTATACTCAGAATAATATACTCCCTCTTCTCAAAAACAATTTGCATTTTCTTTTTAAATTTATTTCAAAATAATTTTATTTAATTTATTCATTCTAAATATTTAAAAATTTTATTTGGCCAGGACTCAATTACTCCGGTATAAAATTTATACTAAAATAAGATCTTTTGTATTTTTATTCCATGAATAGGAATATTGATAATGTGAAATGTCATAATTATTGGGCATTATTGTATTCTACAATATCTTTGACATTACATATTGCCATTCCTTAACATGATAAGCTATTTTTGGTTGAAAAGTCTTATTTTGATATATGAAGTATGTTTTAGTGTTAGTTAAACGTAATTTTAAAGAATGTGTTCCAAATGATTCTCTTCAAAAAAATTCTTTTAACTGCTTAGTTTTCATTTTTCAAATTTTTCTTAATCTTCGAGATGTCAAAAATTTTAAAAATAAATTTAGAATTTCAGTTTTCCATGTTGGAAGAAATTGAAATAAGTATGAAAAATGGAAGAAGTTAAAAATTGTTGGAAAAATTTAAATGTTAAAATGTTGCTCAGTTAAATAATTTGTAAAATAAATATGTAAAAAAACTAGGATTAAAAAAATCATCATTATTTGTGTTTGAGATTATGTGTTATAAAATTGGATAAAAAATTGTTATTGTGTATGCATATATATAAATACTTTTTTTAAATCGTTATTGTCAGAAATTAGGAATTGAAAAGAACTAGAACATGTTAAACACAATGAATTGAAAGAAGTTGGAATAGTTCTGAAATTAATATTTTCATCTCAAATAAACATGAAATAGGTTAAGTAGTTTAATTAGAACCACAAACTCATTTTTTTCACTAGACTTAGGGGGGTGTATTCAATCAGGATTCTGATGGATTGTTTTGGATTTTGAAAATCTGTAGGTATTCAATTCTGATTTTAAAAAATCTTTTAAAATATGATTGTATTCAATCCAGATTTTAAAAAATCCTTCCAAATATGACAGTATTCAAAAATTGATAGATTTGTAAAGATTTTTAATTATAAAGATTTCAATGGATTTTCATGCCTTACTTATTAATATAATTCCAGATTTGAAATCCCACCA